CGGTTACTGCAGCTGCGACGTGAAGGCGTGAAACAAGCTGCTCTCTTTGCACTCAACAGAGAGCAATCTGTGTGTATCGGGGATGGCGGAAGGACCGGAGGCAGCTTAACCTAGTGGCAGTCCCAGGCAGCTTCTTGATTTGACTTTAAAACATCCATGTGTATGTGTGTCTATGCACCTCTCCCCTCCTCCTTCTTGTCCGTCCCCCCACCCCCACTTCAGCCCCCACTTTTAAGAGGACTCCTGGTGCTCTGGTACCAGAAGCAGCATCCCTCAGTGCTGCACCAGACTTGCAGCTTTGCTTGTAGCTGTATTTGCAGCCGTTCTGGAAATGTAATCTATGCTTTGGGACATCAGCATGCAAACAGATATGTCAAAGTCTCACCTTATTTCATTGGATCGGAGAGTAATGATGTGTGAGGGGCAGGCTGAATGTATGGCTGGGGCTTTATGTTCCTTGTGAATCCTGTCTTAAGAGAATTCTAAACTGAAAACATTGTGGGGCTGTTGGGGGGAGATTGCAAGGTTTGAAGGTTGTGGCTCTAATTTAAGGCCTCAGTCACAAAACCCCTTTATTCCACAGTTTCAGTGTCCTCAAAAAAAAAAAGCTTTAATATGGCAACCTGATTAATTTTTTTAATATTTAACTCTGATCCCATTCTGGAAGGGAATGACAGTAGAGGGTGGGTGTTCTCTACCTGCAGGGTACAGGCCTGCATTTCATCATAAGCCTTCCACATCAGCAGTTGTGGAGGAAAATACTTAATACAAAACTGGCAAATGGATCTCTGGCTTAAAATAGAGGCAAGGCAAAGTACAGTAATATTTAACATATTTAGAACAGAACATATTGCAAATATGTCACTGAGGTAAAATGGCTGAAAACTGTCTGATGGAAGATTTTATCCATGGGGAACAGGACTCTTCTTGAGGGTGGATTAACTACCTCTTGGCATATCAGTGTGGGTACTTTTGTCTTCTAGAAACGGTAACAGCATTCTGTTAGATGTCATCAACAGGTATCTGAACATTGTTTTGGCCTTATGTCTTCCTTTACATTAAGTTTCTCAGCCTTTTGCCAGCCTTCTGACATGAAAAAAATCCTAAAAATAACCAAGCAAAATCCACACTTGAAGTACGGGGTCTCTAACGCTTTTTCTCCCTTCCTTCAGTGCATTTTTAAGACCTAAACTGGGGAAACAATATGAAGCTTCCTGTGTGGTATGTACATGTCTCTCTTTTTCAACTCTTACTAGTAACTAACTTTTCATGCAACTTGATCTGACCATGGTGGCTGATCAGCAAGCTTCTCAGCTTATGCCAGAAGTGGATTTAGTCCATTCAGCTTAATTTTGTACTTTTATCACAGGAAGGATTTGAAACATTTTCCCATCTACAGAATTTCGATATCATTTGCATTTCTAGACACAACAAAAACGTATTGATTTGGATATTAGTAACTGAACTAATTAGTAATTAAATAGAGTTAATAATGGTATGGGCGGACTGAGCTACAACAATCTGTGTCTAAACTTACAGTTCATCATGTGTGTATGTGCTTTCAGACGAGATTGATGTCATTTCAGTTTGCAATTACTGGAGTTTTTTCAGACTTAAAATATTGAAAACCTAAACATTACTAACAGGCTTTAAACAATACTTTTACCTTTGTGCAAGATGAAAATACCTCCTCTACTGGAAAATAGAGGGACCATGTCTTAGCAGCATCATTAAAGAGAGGTTATTATGCAGATACTAATAGTTCTTATTTCTAACTGTATTTCAAATGAAACGTCAATCTACTGCCTAAAGGGAGGAGAAAGGGAAGGCATGCAGCAAGTTCAAATAAGATGGGTGTCTAGGGAATTTCAGAATTCCTTGAGCTGTTGCTGATCTTTGGATGACTTAAAGTACATTAAGCAGTTGCAGCCAGACTTGACAGACTGGAAAAACTTGCTCTGGACATGTATCTTGGTAGTTTAAAGTACTTAGGTCTCTCTGCAGCAATTTTCTGACTTCCTTCTCACAAGACATTAAGCTCGAGAAGCCCTAGCCACTGCTGACTAATTTTCTTCTAAGAAATCCATAAATTTTTCAGGGTTATTGCTAGATACCAAATACTGATAGAGGACTGCTTGCTTAGTGTGTTGATGAGTAAAACAAGGGACAGAGCTTCCTTCTCTGTGCATTCTCCATGATGTCCCTATCTGTCTGTGACTTCCTTGTGCTTCATGCTGTGCTGTTGGCATCAGGTCTTCCCCTGTGTCCCCCAGGCTGATTCTAAAGCACCTTTCTTCTATGAGCACATATCAGAAAAACAAGACAAACCAAAAAAAAAAAACCCCAAACCAACTGCCAGACAAATGACATGTTGCAGCTAAGGGAAAGGGAGCTCTGGAAAAATGCATTTCATGAAGATCCAATCCATTTCCACCCCTTGGATGAAGGAGAACTTGATTCTTCTCTAATTCTTAACATAATCATTAAATTATGGTAGAAAGCTTTCGAAGGCAGGGCTTAGTTTTCAGCAATTGTTGGGATACCACCTGAGCTGCTGCGTCTGCCACCTTCTTTTGCTCATCAGTTTTCTAACCCTGCCAATGCACAGCAAAGTCACATCAACTCCTTCCATGTTATCCAGTGGGGTAGCAGAGTGCTGTGTGCATGGGTAAGACAGGGTTTCTGGAACATGACAGGTAGTTGGCTTGTCTTCTGAAACACCAAGCTGACTATCTAACAGCACTGTATTGACTAGTGTGCCTAAAAATACTGTGCACCTGTTATATGATCTGTCCTTTTAAAATTCTTTAGCCAGAATTGTTCTAGGCATGTCGATGGCTGTTAACTGCCTGCCAATGCATCCGACATGACATTGTGCAGTATTCTATTATTATTCTTGGCTCTGAACTTGCTGCAGTAGAATTTGCTGCATATTGTGCATTGAAGAAGCAGATGCTGGAGGCCTAGATTCAGTGAGTACAGCATCTGGTCGGCAAGAGCAGATTGCATTGCTTCTTTGAGCTTTGTTTTATACTTTAATACTTGAGGAAAAACCTGGCCCTTTCATAGCCTTGTTTTCCTTACCTGACCAATCACTGACTTCAATTGGTCTATGAATAATAGCCTTTAATCTGAAGATAGATACCCACCCCCACATAGTCTTACACTGCCTAAATGCTCTTGTGCTTCAGTACGGATTTAGTGTTCTTCCTTCTCCCCATTCTGCAGTTCTTCTGCCCTGACACAATGTCATTCCTGATGTGCATGAGTCAAAGCTGTAAATGATCTCACAGGAACATATGTGAGTGCTGTACAAAGCCAACACATTTTTAAATTCTTTTACCCTGGACGACATTGGGTGTGGAAAAACCCAAACGTTTTCTGGAGGGTCCTGCAAATTCATGGTTTACCTCTTCTCTGTTTTTTTGCTTATTTTTGCAAATGTAGTAATATGTGAAGGGCTGGTGAAGGGTCTGGAGAACAAGTCTTATGAGGAGCGGCTGAGGGAACTGGGGTTGTTTAGCCTAGAGAAGAGGAGGCTGAGGGGAGACCTTATCGCTCTCTACAACTACCTGAAAAGAGGTAGTAGTGAGGTGGGTGTTGGTCTCTTCTCCCAAGTAGCTAGCGATAGGACGAGAGGAAATGGGCTCAAGCTGTGCCAGGGGAGGTTTAGGCTGGAAATTAGGAAAAATTTCTTTACGGAAAGGGTGGTCAAGCATTGGAAGAGGCTGGCCAGAGAGGTGGTGGAGTCCCCATCCCTGGAAGTGTTCAAAAAACGGGTAGATGTGGCACTTCGGGATATGGTTTAGTCTAGTCTACCCTTGATTGGTTTAGGTGGGCTTGGTAATGTAGGTTAATGGTTGGACTGGATGATCTTAAAGGTCTTTTCCAACCTAGACGATTCTATGATTCTATGATTCTATGTTTTGTTGTTAGGAATGATTAAAGGATAGATATGGAACAAAGTTTAAAAAGATGCCATCTTTATTTTATCTAGCCAATGGACGTGGTTGCAGAAAATTGAGTTTTTGAACATGGGATTTTTCTGTAAAGAAAGTGCTTGGCATCTGTGTTTCGTTGCTTGTCAATGTTTGTGCTATAACTATGTTTAGTAAACAATGGAGCTTTACCATCCTTTGTGCTATGAAATCCTAGATTGTTTTAGATCTTTCTAGGAATTCTTCCTTACTCAGAGGACCTTCCCCAGACTGACAATACTGTCTGCCTGCATTTCAAGTTCTTTCCAGTCAGTCTGAAGTGACTTTAGCAATGGCCTCTGCTTTCCACCATGATGCAGCCTGTGCTTTGGAAGAACAGGGCAGTAAGGTTCTCTCCAAGGACAGAAGTCTGGTTCAAGAAACACTAATAGTTTCTCCATGTCTCTGCAAGGGTCTTGTTCATCCTGTTCATTCATTAGCTAAGCACTGGGCCCTGCTCTCCCAGCTTACTGCTTTTTTTCTTTTTTTTTTTTCTTTTTCCCAAATGAGATCCTCTAGGGCTACTTCCCTGGAGGAGACCTGCAGCTCATCTGGCACTCCTGAGAGGATGGAACGGGGGGGTGCTGAGCTTCCCAAGGTCCTCCTGGCTGTCTAGTGGGGGCTAGGGGCCTGGCTGAGCTGCAGGTACAGCTCTCCTGGGCTTAGAGCAGGGGAATTTCATGCAGCTCAAGCAAAGTTGTATAGGAAACCATGGCAAAGCCCAACCAGAATCTGGTCTGTCCTGTACTGCTTGTCTAGGCTTCTTCAGGCTGCCTGTTCCTGTTCCAGCAGCAAAGTGACACACAAGCTGACCCTTGTCACAAGGTATTTGACAGTCCCTTTGGTTCTTGGTGAAGAAGAAGGTAAAAGGAGAACAGGAGCAGTGGGAAGGCAGCCAGATGAGACTGACCGCCACTCCCTGTGAAAACAGATGGCATCACCAGGCTAAAAGGAAAAATGCTTGTGTAAGTGGCCCTGAGGGAGCTGAACACACACACCCAGAGCACCACTGAAAGGGGCTGCCCTTTCTCCAGCCAAGGCATAACACTGATTTCCCTCACTACTCCCTTGGTAGATGTTCTTTATCCTCCTTTGGCACGCAGGATATTGCAGGCATAGACAAGCGTGCTGTAAGCAGGTAACTGTTTTCTTAGCCAAGCAGCAGCCCTGAGGCTGCAGCTCCAGACATACCCATAGCATGACAATATATCTCCTCTGATTGACTTACAGGGAGCTTATTTCAGACATTCTCACTCAGCCTTCTTATTGAAGCATGTAGCTGTAGCAGCAGTTGCTTAGTTCATGTGGGGTAAAAATTAGGTCTTTCATCTTAACATCTGTATATTCTCTGTAACAGGTCCTGAAAGTCAGAGTAGAGCCATAGCAGACCGAACAGGAGGCTCTACAGGAGCAAATGTTAAGCCAGGGCCTTGTGTCTTAGTTAGCAATAGGACGAGAGGAAATGGGCTTAAGCTGCGCCAGGGGAGGTTTAGGTTGGAAATTAGGAAAAATTTCTTTACGGAAAGGGTGGTCAAGAATTGGAACAGGCTGCCCAGAGAGGTGGTGGAGTCACCAGCCCTGGAAGTGTTTAAAAAACTGGTAGACGTGGCACTTTGGGACATGGTTTAGTCTAGTCTACCCTTGATTGGCTTAGAGTAGACTTGGTAGTGTAGGTTAATGGTTGGACTGGATGATCTTAAAGGTCTTTTCCAACCTAAACGATTCTATGATTCTATGATTCTATGATTCTATGAATGTCTGGTGTAGACAGAAGCTGCTGTGAGTTAGACTTCTATGGAGAACTCAGGCAAATCCCATGGAAACATTTGTCCAAAGAACTGCATGTTCTTGTTGGGCTGCTTGTTACAGTTATCAGTGTGGGGACTGATGCCAACCAGGTCCCGTGCTGACAGTACATGCACAGTGGCAACTGGATACCAGCCAGTGCCTGCAGCACACAGGGACACTCAGTGGTTTCCATCCAGTAGCCTTTGTGTTAGCATTTTTCTGACAACATACAGTACTTCCATCTCAGATGCTTGTGATGACATATGCTGTTCTGGAAGCTTTCTGAAATATATTTAACTTTCTGCTCAGGCCAGGAAAGAACAGAGGAATCTGGTGGCTAACCATGTAGGAAAAGCTTCATGTGGCTCAGAAACCCAAAGTGTTGAGGTGAATACAAGCCTAATTTAAAGACATAATTGCATACTCCTTGACTTCCTCTTGAGTTTCTGAAGTATGCAGAATGTGGGCCAGAGCTTCCAGAAGGCAGTTGTTGGAAGACTTTCTCCCTGATGCCATGAATGAAACTGCAAATGGAAAGCCAGAGACCAACAATGTTGTTTTCCATCACACTTCATCACACTTCAGAATACTGTTGCTGCTCAGTGATTTTTTTGTTTTGTTTTGTTTTCCTCCCCTTGCTCTGTAACTGAATAGCTTTGTCACTCTGCTGAAGTGTGAGCTTATGGTTTGGCTTTTCTACTGGGGTGAGAAGGTAATTTCTTTTAATAAGCCTAGGTCACTAGTGGTGCTTGGCAGGCCTTTCAGTGAGCTAATTCAGCTCACTAAACAGGTAGAAACTACTTACCTCTATGCTGAGCTTCATTCTGGGTTGTGTAGAGGCTTGACTTGGCTGAATGAAGGCCTCAGTGAGCCCCAGAACTGATGCATGAGTAGAGATGGGGGTGTGTGGCTGGAGCTACAAATAGGGAGTGTCACCCTGTCTGTTTTTGACAAAAATAAATAAAATCTCATATTTTTCACTGGCTCTTTCAGACTTTGTGTTGTTTGTAACAATGCATTAACCCTGCACCTCTTGTCTTGCTTCTGGACGATACTTTACTACTTTGTTCCCCCATTTTGTTAGGTAACCTTCTCTGGGATAGTTGTTCTAGATTTTTCTTGTCTTTATACTAATGTGCTCTCAACTGCTACTGTGGTTCGACGACTTCATAGTTCCTGAATGGAACAAAATACTCAGACCTTGCAATGAGTACTTTGCTCCCATGCCTGCAAAGGCTTTCCAAGCATCTGCCATCCCTTCATGTTCTCCCCATTCCTGAACTGATAGGCATGAGTGGCAGGAGACCGTTTCCCTTTGTAGACAGTGTGGCCCCCAACCGATAGCTGTAAGAGTGATTTGAGGCATCCTTTCCCTGGTAGACATGTTATCACATTCTGGTGCTAAGAAATACACATTGCTGACAACCTAATTCATAGCACATTATTTTTGACTAATGCCCAGGAAGTCGGCATTTCTGTCCATGTATTACAACTAATGCCCTCCAATTTCAGCCATTGCTCCATAAAGAAAGTCTATTGAGTTTTCTGACTAGAACGTGGAGGTTCTAGTAGGTTGGCAGTGTGAATTTCTACACACTTATGTTTGTTGGATGCTCTGATGTTTATTGTCAGTATTTTCTCAGGTTCAACTTGTGTTGCTACAGGCTTAGTCCTCTATAAGCACACTCAGTTCTGAATAACCCCCCAAATACATCTGTGTAAATCATACAGTCCATCTCCCCTTCTCTTTGTCTATGCCTGGCGCTATTGGGGAGTTCCTGTCTTAGGTTGTAAGTACAAATAGATGTGTGTTTCTCGGCCTCTGTGCTGGCCAGAGCAGATCTGTTATGAGGATGCTGTAAACACATGATGGTGTGGCACTATGCTTGCACCAGGGCAACCTGCCTCTCGATGGAGCAGCTCATGCCTGCCCACACATGCGGATGCGGCCACCACCTGAGAGAACAAATGTGCACAGCTGCTGGAGTATGCAGAAGTGTGCACATTACCATGCCTGGGAGTGGCTTGTCATTTAGGAGAGCTAGGTTACGACTGCTGCCCTTTTTGCTTTTCTTCTTTGTGATTAAGTCTATTCTTATTACCACCACCAC